CTCACCTACGTGCTTGTCGGGGGCGGTGCTAAGCGCTATTTGGCCAATGAATTGGCGTGATGGTATAAGAGCTTAAGACATTCGTCACACCGAAGATGTTCCCAAAGCGATGACGTCATCGCAGCATCGAAGTGAACCTATGAGAGGGAACCAATCACACACGATTCTGTTGAGCTTATGAATGCAATGGTCAATCAAGAGATGTGCAGATGAGTTATCGCTGAAACGCGGTGTTTTGTTCGTATTAAAAATATTTTATGGCATGACACCCATATACAATAGTCCATATCTGGTACTTAAGTAAAAACTCGGGTTTTTATGTGTAGTTAATAGATTACACTATTAGTCTAGTTTGCCCATCACCATTTATTGATCAAATAACAATCTATAAAGGCGCAAAACTCATTTACTTACACATATTTGAGAATCGAGATATTTCCCGATATAGTTTACACGTCTGGAAATATTTCGAATAAAAAGGTTAAAAAAATAAATAAATAAACATAAGCCTACACCAGTTATACTGCTATCGTATAACTGAAATACCCCCCACCACCGCCACGTGCCCCCCTCAAAAATCATGAGTGCATGACGCCCTTGACTGTTGTAGTAATAGGCCTATTTAGTAAATGTCATGTAAATAGAAGTTAAATTTTGAGAATGGACTTGGTCTTTTGTTGCTTGTCAAAAGCTGAATATGTTGATTGGCTTTTCAGTAGAAAAAAAGACAATTCTCACTCTCTTCAACTGCATGTTCATCCACTTGGTAAAAGTTTTCTCTTGGACTGCCTGCTTCTCATCTGTAAAAAAAAAAAAAAAAAATCAAAGTGAGGCTTTTTCACAAGGGTGTAGGAGCATGGATACACAACAACAGAGGTTTAGTGTCAAAGTTTAAAGTTCTGTAAGTGACATGCTGTCATTTCAGAACAATTGAACAGGTTTAGCGCAGGTGACAACAGGTATAAGCAGGTTCACTTTCATTTTAAGAGACATGCACTGAGTGAAATAAATGAAGTTTTGTCTTAATGTTTACCTCGATTTTTTTTTCAGTCTTACAAATGTTTTCTGTACACTCACACTTTACATTTCTATTACGTTTCCTTTACATTTTGTTAAATAATAAATAAATATATATAGTGTATAAAGAATGCATGATTAGAACTGTACGTGTAAATTATGCATACACAAGGTCATGGATTCTCCTACCTTTACCAACATGTTCATCTCTCTTCTTACTCAGCATTGAGGACATCCTGAACAGGACCAAGAAAACATCTAAAAGTCACTAATATACTCCATGCACAGCTGTAGTGACGCTAGAGGAACATTTGAGGAAGTCATCAGTTTGATTTGAGGAAGTCATCAGTTTGAGAAGTGTTTTTGAGCGTCAGCTCCTGCCAGCACATGCCTGCCTCCTCCATACACCTGCATTTACCTGCGACAGCTCCTCCAAACCCTTCACTGCCTCAAGCCAATATTTATTATTCATTCTTAAGACATAGTTTAGCTTTTATGTGTTGACATTTTATCCACTCAATTTTAACTAATAAAACAAGTGGATACTTGAATGATGGTTTGTTCATAACTATGACTAAGGTTTTTTTTTGTAAAAGCAAAACGTAATCCTAAATCCTCAACATCAAAGGATAGTTTTAACTCCGTAATGGTGTATGACGGTGTTTTTGTTGCATTATAAATTACACAGTGAGTCAATGTGTTAATAAATAAATAAAAATGTCTAAAGATTATTAAATCAAGATACACTGATTTTAAGGATGTTTAGATTTTCACATTGGAAAACAAGACAATAACACTGAGGAAGATATTTTTTTGCAGTGCATGCAGCATTTAAAGTCTTTCTGCTCCAATTTAAGAAACTTTTATGGCCTTAATTTGTGGAAAAAGCCAAATTATGACTTTTTAAGACTCTGATAAACACTATAAATAGTAAATGAAGACAAAAATAATTGGGACACTTTCTGACTGTCAAATGTTAGTTAAGGTAGTCAAAGTGATGAACAATACCGGTGCGAACTTGAGAAGAACTGACTTCATAAGCCACCCTGACACCAGTTGGTTCACAATAAAAATGGCTCATAAAAGTAATTAGTTTGTTCTAATTCACTCCTATCTGGTTGCAAGTCCTGCAGTACAGGTTGTCACTTATTTTGCTGAGTGCAGCCTTCATAATAAACCTCAATGATGACGACAATGTTCTGGTTTTATTCAAGTAACAGACAATTTTGCTGGCTAATTAAATGTGCATTGGCTAAATTTAGATACCTCAGAAATGTCTGAATGATTCATTTATAGCTCACGCAATTCTGCAAAAGGTCCTGTAAAAGTCAAGTCACCTTTATTTGTATAGCACTTTATACAATACTGATTGTGTTAAAGCAGCTTTACAGTGTCAAAGAGGAAAATAGTTTGTCAAAAATGCAAGAGGACAATAACAAAGAGTAATTTTTCCAGCTGAAGTCGGTTCATTGATGATTCAGTGATGTTATCATCCAGTTCAGCTCTATGGTGCAATCAGTCGAGAGAGAGAGAGAGA